GGGGGAGAGAGAAACGACAACTTACCTCACCTCTCCAGTATTCCAACACAGCCTGGCAAATTCACAAACCTCGTTCAGGGGAGAGGAAGAGGGACTCACAGGGAGCTCGCTGGAATCTCAAGGGCCGAATGGCCTCCTGCTCTGTTCTAGCCTAATCTCTATCCCTGTGATTCCTTTCCCTTTCCCAGCCCCTCACTTCATCCTCCGCTGCTACAATGTGAAATCCTCTTTGCGGAAGATACAGATTAAGGGAAGGAGTAGACCATTCAGCCCCTTGAGTCTGTTCGCTCCCATTTAATACTCTCGTAGTCGCTTTCATTGTAGCCTCAGCATCACTGCCTCCAGTGTCCCTCAATGATCAAAAATCTTCCTCGGCCTCGGATAGGAAGGGAGAGGATTCCTCAGGCTCGCAACCCTCAGAGGGAAGAAATTCTTCTCCATCTTTTTTCTCCCCAGGATAAGGGAGGAGAAAGGGACCTGAGGGGAAACTTTTTCACACAGATGGTGGTGCGTGTATGGAACGAGCTGCCAGAGGAAGTGGTGGGGGCTGGTACAATTACAACATTTAAAAGGCATCTGGATGGGGACATGGATAGGAAGGGTTTAGAGGGATAGGGGCCAAATGCTGGCAAATGGGCCTAGATTAATTTAGGATATCTGGGTCAAGTTGGGCCGAAGGTCTGTTTCAGTGCTGTACGACCCTATCTCCGTCTCTAATGGGGGTCCTCTCATTCTGAAATTGAGTCCCCCCCTTCATTTTTTTTATTCTTTGTCTTTCGCCCCCTGACCTCTCGTTAAAGATCTCTTTGAGGTTTACATCAGGTGGAAAATTAAGCCATGAGCTAGGAAGCCATCTTGGATTAAGGGGCATGGCATATCTGGTGATACCAGATCACACCAAAGCTCCTGAGCCCCAGTCTGTGGATCCTCTTATTTGGCTTTGGGTGGGGTGGAGGGGAATGGTTTTGGGGGCATGTGGGGCGGGGGGAGCGTTGCAGGCGTTAAGGACGGATAAATAGAGCAGGGAGGGCCCTCTCCCTGGGCCTGTGCATATCAGATCGAGTCTGTTCCATGGGATTGTGGCCGATCTGGTCATCCCCAACTTTCCTGCCCAAGGCCAGGCAACATTGGAGCAGAATCAAGCCATTCGGCCCATGGAGTCCACACCGTCGTTGGGCCACGGCCTGTGCGTGACTCAACCCCATTCTCCCCGTGACCCCCAAACCGATCAAGAACCGATCTAGCTCCATCTTAAGGGCACTCCATGACTTCGGAGCGTCATGGCGGCTCAGTGGTTAGCGCCGCTGCCTCACGGCACCAGGGAACCCGGGTTAGATTCCACCCTCGGGCGACTGTCTGCGTGGAGTTTGCACATTCTCCCCGTGTCTGCGTGGGTTTCCTCCGGGTGCTCTGGTTTCCTCCCACAGTCCAAAGATGTGCAGGTTAGGGTGGAATGGCCATGCTAAATTGTCCCGTAGTGCCCAGGGATGTGCAGGTTAGGGTGGATTGGCCGTGCTAAATTGTCCCATAGTGCCCAGAGGTGCGCAGGCTAGGTGGGTTAGCCATGAGAAATGCAGGGTTACAAGGAGAGTGGGTCTGGGTGGGATGTTCTTTGGAGGGTTTGGTGTGAACCCAATGGGCCGAATGGCCTGCTTCCACACTATGGTGGGGTCTTTCATAGGATTCCCTTCCTGATTAAAAATCTCGGT